ATAATAATAATAATAAACAACAACAACTACTACTACTATTATTAAAAACAATGGAATAAATTGTATTAAAATATATTTAAAATACTTATTTTAAATAGTTTGTTTTATTTTACAAAATTAGTTTTTATTGTATTTATCAAGACTTATTACCAGACTTTTGTTGTAGTAAAACTTTATTACATTTATATTTTATATTAAATTACAGCATTTTAACATTAGTTTCCCATTAGGTTGGCAAAGTAATTTTATAATGCCAGCCACAACAATGCAAAAATATATTGAATATGTCCAGCCCAGTATTTTTACTCTCTTGGGCGTTGTAAAATGAGAGAGAAAGAAACAACAGCATGTTGCAAGAATTTCCCATCCACAAGACAACTTTAATTATATAATATCAATTATAATTACAGCCACCCACACAGAAGCGCTGGCAGTGGCCCAGCTCATTTACGCATACAGTATGAGAGCTCAGAGATAAAACGGGCACAAAGCAGCATTCATTCTCTCTTCACTGGATTCACCCTCACTGTGATGCACACCACTAGCTCATCACCCATTTACATTTAATTAAAGCGGACATGCCAGATCAATATGTTCCATTAGCCCCAATACATCTGTGACAGAATAAGCCGACGACATCAGCCACTAATTTCCCCAGCGATGCCATCGACAGCAGCCTGTGCTATCCTGCTTTTAAGAGCCTGAACACGGCGTGAAGCTCTGTAGTATGCGGCTTTCACACATACACACACACAGACTCAAAGAATTACACAAACACCCCTGGGGGAAGCAGAGGTCATGAATTAGTCTTTGAACTGACTTTCTGAAAGATGTTTAGAAGTGTGTGTGTCTCTCCTTTCATTGTTTATGACTAGACAGGGCTGTTCACTTACTTCTTAGGGCAACAAATCCAGCTTTATTCAAAGGGTTTTAACAATTAGTTGGCACAAGCACATTGTAAGCACAGTCTGTGAGAATGTAAATGGCAATTTCAAAAAAGGCATTTTTATTTGAGTGAGATTTTTTGCTGTCCGTTTTACAAGCTGAACGGGGTGGAGAAAGACTCAAAATGGTTTCAGGTCAAGGCTGACAGCAAAAAAAAAATGCTGAAAACAGGATACTCTGCGGGTCAGTGTTCTGTAAACAAACGCGGACTTTAGAGTCAAATGAGAAAACCAAACAACATAAAACGTGTTTGCGCTTGTACGAAAATGGAGCTATGGGTAAACACTGACAGGACCGTTCTTCTGGACTCCGTCAATCTAAATCCCTGTCTTTGGGAAAACTAGTTGTTTTTGAAATTGGACCCCAAGCAAGTGTGCAATGGTAAATGTATATATTATTCTCTGATGCCAGTTATAAACCACACAAATTGTTCATGCTGCAGTGCATTCTCGGAGCTCACAAATTAACAATATTGTTCAAAATTATTTGTTCAGACGGCTATTACACTAATAGGGACATTCTATTGGGAAATATAATATGAAGAACACTTAAAAGGTTCTTCACAGCGATGCCATAGAAGAACTGCTGTGGCATCGTGAAGCACCTTTATTTTTAAGAGTGTATAACATTGGGAAAAGTGTGTTTTTTGTCCCCTATTTTACTTTCATATATACATACATACAATAAAGTTTTAAAAAAAAAGTGTGTGTGTATATATATATATATATATATATATATACACACACACACACACACACACACTTTTTTTTTACTTTATTTTATATTGCAGAGTTTTTCATTTATTTAAAATAAATTAACTGATTCTCCTCAATCAACACTAAAATTTGAAAATATTACAAAAATAAAACATAAAATAGCTGTAATACAGCAAGAAAGTACATTTCAATTATTTTTACTTTAAAACAAAAAAATAGCTGTCAATATGTAATACTTTAGTGCAATTAAACAATTAATTAATTAAACTAAGTAAGTCTTGGCTGGCATCAGCTGGTTAACAGGTTTTTGGGCTTCTGAACTGTTTAGATGCGTTTTGACGTTTGAAAGGATTTAGCAAAGACAGCAAAATAAAAAATAAAATTCATTCATTCATTTAAAAAGAAAAAAGACAAATCTGTAATGCATGGCAAGAATTATGCAACTTGATTTTGCACTTACGGAAATCTAGTGAGTGTGAAAACCAACCACAATGATAGAAGTTTCTGGATTTATAAGACTTAAACACATAAAGGGCAAAGTAGGAAAAAAAAAATCACTGCCTTGCATATTTTCAAGCTCAAACATGCTGAGAGCTGAGGTGCTGGCAGCCTGAGGACAGTCTTAACCCTCAGGTTTAAGGGATCCCCCGGATTCTTTCCAGTGTTTACACAACATTCCATAGTCTGAGCCTTCAGTGTCGGTAAATACAGGGCCCTCCGGCACAGGTGCTCCAAACATTACTGGCCCCTGATGTCATCGGTGTCTGCCGACGGGCAAGCAAACACTCTGCTATGAATAAAGAAGAAAGCCAAGACATGAATACACCATACTATAATATAATATAATTTCAAGAACCCACTGGAAATAACTGCACCATCCTGCCTAGCATATTGTATTCAACATCCTCTCAATTGGGATGCACTGATTCTAATCTTGCACATTATTTAGGACGAATATACAAAATGGGATGCAGGGCTGCAGAGACGAGGGGACGAGAGGGAGCTGCGTTCACATTGCCTCGCTGCTCTTTTAAAGTAGGACAGGCATTTTGTTTTCTTACATTGTTTGCTCCGTCTTTCCCATTGTCTTGGGCGTGTGAGGGAGAGTTATGTAAGCCAGGTTGCCAGCAGATGAGCATGGACATGAGCAGAGGGTTTCAAACCCTCACGCCATATGAAGCAAAGCTATTTTGGTGGCTCGTGAAGCACACTTAGACTCAGCATGAAAAGAAGACGTGGTGAGAGGCAGATGAGCCTGCTGCAGTGACAAAGAGAACAAAAGAGAAAAAAAAAAGGTCAACGCCTTATTGTCTTAAATTATGGATGATGTTTCTTTTTGAAATCTTTTTATTCAAAGCTACTTCACAAAAAGTGTCTTTAGAAGTCAACATGTTTATTTCAACAAGTCTGTCACTGGTCTATGTTTCACCAAAATGCATTGTGAACATGTCAAAGCTGCTGCTGCTGTATATTCTATAATAATAATAATGCTTAAATAAATAAATCACAAACAACAAACCAACAACAAAAGATAAAACACAGTAGTAGTTAGTAAGTAAATATATATATATATATATATATATATATATATATATATATATATACACACACATACACATAGGTAATAAAAAAAATGCCCTGGTTTAATAAAAATAATAATAATGATGGCTAAAAATAAATATTGATGAGGCTAGTAATAATAAGGCTTAATCTAAATAAATAAAATAAATTAAAACAAATAAATAAACTACTGATGATGATGACGATAATAATATAGTAATAATAAAGCTTAAAATAAATATAAATATCTAAAATCACAAACAAACAAAAAAATGAAAACAGTAGTAGTTAATAAATATAATAATAATAATAAGCTTAAAATGCAACATATAATCACAAACAACAAAAAGATCAGTAGCAACAGTAATAAATAATAACAACAACATGCTGCAAACAAACAAATAAATAAATAGCCATCACACAAACCTGCATATACATGGACTTTCCATATTTGAACTTCCTCTATCTACGGTTTACATATTTATTTCTTATACACGCACACTGAATTCCATTCCTGAATTCCAATTCAATAATAAAGCTTAAAATAAATATAAATATCTAAAATCACAAACAAACAAAAAAATGAAAACAGTAGTAGTTAATAAATATAATAATAAGCTTAAAATGCAACATATAATCACAAACAACAAAAAGATCAGTAGCAACAGTAATAAATAATAACAACAACATGCTGCAAACAAACAAATAAATAAATAGCCATCACACAAACCTGCATATACAGTTGCATGTTTGTGTGGACTTTCCATATTTGAACTTCCTCTATCTACGGTTTACATATTTATTTCTTATACACGCACACTGAATTCCAACTTTTACATTACACCACTCTAAATACCAAATATGCAATGCAGACATTTCTGTCCTTGTGGATTGTGCTGTAATTATAGGACAGAGTCATAATAGTGCTGTGGAGACAGCGGGTGCTTTGAGCCTGTCATGCCTGTGCAGGTGGTGTAATTGTGAAGTGTCTGGTTTGAGGGGCCTGTGGGCCCACTGTGGCCTTCACACCTCTCTGCTGTCACACTGAAATAATGTCATCAGGGAGACATGCAGGAAATGAGCATCCGCCTGACGGGACGACCCTCCAAGGGCTTTCACCGCGAATCCCGCTGGATCGGCAGGCAGATTTGCCAATATCTGCACTCATTCATGCATTTTTAAAGACGCAATTTACTCACAAAAACAATGAAGCTTTCATGCCTGCTTTCAGAGCATCACAACGCCTGTTCCTGCCCCAGAGCACTTCGAAATCAATATGGGAGACAGAAAAAAAAAGATGCTCAAGAAATCTTACCAATAGAAAAATATACACAACCAGTCAAAAGTTTGAAATAATTACTTTTTTGAGCACAAGAGACTTTCAAACCTCCACAGCAACTGCAATGGTGGCCACCTGGGAAGCCCCGTTGTTCAAGATCAAGATCTGTAGTCCATTACCAATCTAATTAGTAATTTGTAAATTATAAATTAAGGCTCCCCGACCAAAGGAGAGGGACAGATCTGAAACCAAATCCCACTGAGTCAGCAATCCCTAATGAAATTCAAACGGACCCAAGGAGATTTGAGTGATTTTTGCCTCGACTGAGCCAAGTGGAAGAATCAGAGATCCATGTTGATGTTTGCTGCATTATGACTCATCTGCAGAGCCCCGAGCCAACTTGATGCAGCTATCAGGACGGCCTCCCTCGAGGGCCTGGATCCGTATCACACATTAATCTCATTGCAGGGGTGCTGATCCAGGATCAGGCTCGCCAACCTGCCCAGACTGATTTGCATCATTTGAATCTAGGAGGCGAAACCGACCCTGAAACAGCGTTTGTTCTGCAGCTTCATGTAGCAGACGGCTGGAGTTCAGCCTGACCTCACAGCATCCAGTCTGCTGGAGACCAGTCACTTCATGACAGTAAGGTGATATCAAGAGCAAAACCAGACCTGCTAACAGACTGCATACACAATTCTAGCTCACAACAACCATAAATATAATATTTATAAACGGAGTTAAATGTTTTCTTTTATTGTTATTGCTATAATATAAAACATTAAATATAATTACAATTGTCATTTAATAATAATAATAATAATAATAATATGTAATTAGATTTATAAATAGCATGTAACATTACATTTTTATTGTAAGCATATCAATAATATAATGATACTGATATTAATATTCATAAATATAATAAATGTTATATTAATATTAATACATTAAAAAGTATAATTATCAGTATTATAGAATATCTAAATTACTAAACAAAAGGAACGGTTAATTCAAAAATGAAAACTGCCATCATTTACTGGCCCCTATGTCATTCCAAACCAGTATGACTTTTTTCAAAAACAGGGGAAAAAAAAAAAAAGGGAACAGGTTTGAAAGACATGAGTGTGCATACATGCATGACAGTTTTCATTTTGAGATGAACTTTTCCCTTCAAGACCGACAAAGAAACTCAGAGATCTGAAATTGACTGCCACGGTACATTCACTACTTCAAAGAAGTCGTTTCTTTATAGTTGAACCATTTTATTCAGCCGTCTTTTTCAGCTCTGACTCTGTAAAGAGACTTGCCCATGTTTGATGTCTGGATGCGTGTGCACTGCTCCTCGTTTTATTTATTGATATGAGACTGCAGCCTCTTTCTTTTGAGTACTTTTATTTTTAAAACAAAAATGACAAATGACAATACAAAACAAAGATGTACAATAAAATACTGTACGCACTGGCCAACCCTCTCTGACTGCTTCTGCATGATGTAACTTGTCTAATGAGGTGTATCATGTGAATGGCTGGAAGGCGATCTCATCATCCATTGACTCTCTTACTGGTTTTCAAAGGCTGCAGTCACAAACAGATCGATGGCATATTGGCAAATGAGAGGAGAGCATTGAGTCTGTGTTATGTGACTGATCAATGAAGCACTGATCTCTGCACTCGCAGAGACATTCCTGCTGATTAGCATCTGCTCCCGTCATTAAGCAATAGTAGACGGCCTGTGGCGCGCGGCTAATAAAAGTATGCATCACATTTGTTCTTTTGTCTGAGATGCGCTTCTGCATGACTCAATTGCAGTAAAGGACATTCTAGTGTTGAATCTGTCTGAACACACAGCTCAGTTTCCCTCTTCCTCTGATGCCTGGATTTTCAGATGATATCCGATCCCTGACTGATCATTAGCTTCAGAAATAATGAATAGTGCTGTCTACAATGCACGAAATGTTCGAAAATAGCTTAATCAAGGTTAAATAATACTGTTGGTGGAGTCTTTTGCTTTACAATAAAAAATAGAAAAAGAAAAAAAAAAAAAAGTTGAGTTAACATTATCAAGATGTTCTGTTTCTGCATAGCAAATTGTAATATTTTATTACATTAATTACAAAAATTGCAAAAAAACAAAAAAAACAAAGTGCCTAATGATTTTAGAAGACAAAAGACATTTCAGCTAACCCAAACTGATTCAAAAATTATGGCTATGTTAACGCACGAAATGTTCGAAAATAGCTTAATCAAGGTTAAATAATACTGTTGGTGGAGTCTTTTGCTTTACAATAAAAAATAGAAAAAGAAAAAAAAAAAAAAGTTGAGTTAACATTATCAAGATGTTCTGTTTCTGCATAGCAAATTGTAATATTTTATTACATTAATTACAAAAATTGCAAAAAACAAAAAAAACAAAGTGCCTAATGATTTTAGAAGACAAAAGACATTTCAGCTAACCCAAACTGATTCAAAAATTATGGCTATGTTAACAGAATTCTTCGAAATAAAATAAAATTAAAATAAACATTTTACTAGTAGGAACTGCTTTAACAAACAGTTGTTGCTGAGACTGGAAGAATTACCCATAAGGCCTTGCATGGAAAAAGCATGGCAATGTATTGATGTATTTTCAGGCATATTCAGTGACTGAGTAAAGAAAAATGAATAAATAGGAATAACATATAGATTTAGATTAGATATAGAAAATACACAAGTAATTAAAATCAGTAAGAAAAGCTAATTATAACTAAACTAAAACGAAAAAGTATAAAATGCAAAAAGTAAATTAAGTAAAATAAAAATAAAAGTTATGAATTATTATTTCTATTAAGAATTAAAAAATAATGGATAAATAAATGAATACACACACACACATTAATAAATATACATAAGTGAATAAACAAGTAAATCAAAATAGTAATAAATTAATTAATACCAGTAAAAATAAATAAGTGGTAAATTAGATAAATGAATAAAATAGTATTATTTTAATAATATATGTAAATATATTTTACTAATATATCTACAAATATGTAGAATATGTAAATAAATAAAAAGGCAAATAAAATTAGTCAAGTAAATAAAAATAGAATAAAGTGAATATAAATAAATGAATCAAAAAAAAAAAAATCAATGAATTAAAAGTTAAAAAAGGGGGGGAAATAGGTTAACAAGGTAACAATGTCCTCTCAACCGCTTCCTCTAATTGACCCTTTGTAGGGCGTTTGATTGACAGGTGATCATAACGCCAAATCTGCCATTTTTGTCCAAAAAAAACAAAACACAGGAGAATAGATTAATGTTGGTGAACTTGAAAAATGGTGTGTCGTCTTTCCACGGTTTAAATAAGATACCTTCTGATGTTCATTCATGTTTATTTTGTACTACAACTAGTAGAGGAAGAGATGATCGGTTCATGTG